CTCTTTCAAGCCTGTGTAGCAAATTAGAGACAACCTCTGTTTACCAATCATAGCACTCCCACTTAGTTTGCTGGAGTGACTACATATGCTTTATTAATAACATAATTGATCATTTTAACAATTAGGTACCTTCCAAAGTGGATAAGGCAAGAACTCTGCCTTGAGGATTTTACAAATATAGTCCCTATTGCTGAAATTCATAGCGTTGGTTAGATGGCCGTGCTGGTGTACAGTCCCATTGACAAAATTGGGGCTCTCAGAGAACACAACAGTGAACTACAGGACCAGGACATAGAATACAACATATGTGTTTTAGGAAATCAGAAACAGTAAACATGGAGAAGGGAATCTATACAATGACTCAGCAAGTCTGGGAGATTACTGTCTACTCTGAACAAGCATATACACAGTTTATAACTAGCAGACTCATCAGCTTTTCTGGGTGAGTCTAGGAGTCTGGTTCTATTCCTTCTAGCCATTATTAGACTAAAGAAAAAAATCCTAAAGAAGTTTTAGGGATCCTTTTAATTCCAAAACCTTATGCTAAATGAAAAAGTTTCCAAACAAGTATTAAAAAAACCCCAAACACTTCTATATGCAATATTTTTATATTCAGTGGCAGTTGAATATAAGCATGTAATTAACAAAATGCAAGATTCACTTTTTGAGACCTGTTTACTCTTTATTTTTTCTTTACAATATGCCACTTAAAACAAAGGTCTTTTGGTTGAATATTTACTGTTACATTGGTTCAGTTCTGGAATAACTCTGCTGTTTTAAGGCTGTTTGTTTTCATCAGCCACATTATTACCAGTGTAGCAGACCAGATTTGACAGAATCTGATTGTTAAAGAATGCCCAGTCTTGCTAAGTAGCTGATTTCCGTAGGCCCATCCTTTTTTGTACATACAATAAGTTTTTCCTTGAAATGGTATATATGTCAGTGCTATTGTAAAAGCTGACATTATTTTTAGATAGTTATTAAAAAAAACTTGAATACAACGTATGAGTGTGGTTTTAATTAAATAAACATCTGTTTTTCTGTTTTTCTAAAAATAGAGAGGGAAACTTATTGGAGATTTCCTACCAGAAGGAAATACTTAGCACGTTGCTTGGCCCCTGCTAGCAAAGAAAGAGGTTATTTTTAGACCCTGATGATCAAAGCATGACTTAAATTCCTATATACAAGTGTCATAAAACTAAGCTTGTGTTTGTTATAATAAAAATAGTGATTTATGGACAAATCAGAACATCTGCTTCCAGAAAGTAGATTTTAAATATTATTAGTCTTTCATTCCTAAAATGTGAAAAATAATGGACCAGGTTTAGAACTTGTATTGGTGGGTTTCTATAGTGGTAGATTGGCTCAAGATTTGAAGAGGTTTGTCAGTAAAACTTGTGCAAAGGTTTACAAAAAGAGAAAAAACAAAATGGTTTGCATGCTCTAACCTGAAAATATCCCAACTAACTTGGGTTCTAACCCAGGGTAATGATAATGGGATGAAGAATTTTGCCACCCCCTCAGCTTTCCCCCTTTAATACTTTTTATATAAAGTAGCTGTTTAAATAAAGATTTCTGTATTTACTTAGATTCCAGTTGGTGCTTTCAGTTCCAAGTCCTGATTCACATTTATCTTCTGCACATTAGTAAAAAGGACTAGGTTGAATCAGTAGAATCACATCCATGTATTCCAGGTCTGAAATTGGCCAATGATATCATAGGACCATAGGAAAGTAGAGCTGGAAGAGAGGTCATCTAATCTAAATCACCCCTGACTAAACTCTCCTAATCGAGTATCTGTCTAACCTGCTCTTGAAAATTTCCAGGGTTGGCAATTCCACAACTTCTGGGTAGCTTATTCCAGTGCTTCATCACTGTCATAGTCAGAAAGTTCTTCTTAATCTCCAAACTAAAATTTCTCTGCTGCAATTTGTGGCTATTGCTTGTAGTCCTATCCCCTACAGACGTGGATAAAAGTCTGTCTTCATCCTCTTCATAATATTCCTTCAGGTATTTTAAGACTGCTGTCAACCCCTTGCCATAACCCCTTCAGTTTTCTCTTTTTCAGAGTAAACAGTCTTAGTTCTTTCAGCCTTTCCTTGTAAGTCCTGTTTCCCAGGCTTCTAATCACTTTTGTTTCTCTCTTCTGGACTCTTTCCAATCTGTCCATATCTTTCTTAAAATGTGGAGCCCAGAACTTGACGCAGTACTCCAGGTGAGGCTTCAGCTGAATAGAGTGGCTGAATTACTTTGCTTGATTTGCAAGTAGGGTAACCATACATCTCAGTTTGGCCAGGACAGTCCCAGATTCCATAGCCTGGTCCTGGCTGGTTGGTCAAAAGTCCCAGGCCAGAGTCTGGTGGGGAGGTGGAGTGGCATGGTGTGCCAAGCAGGCAGCTGGGCAGGCACCACTGGTACTATGTGGGAGCAAAGATGTGCCACGTGTGGGTGGGGTGGTGCCTGCTCCATTCTGTTCACCTTGCTCCCACAAAACAGCAGTAGTGCCTGTCTGACTGCCTGCCAGGTGCACCATGCTGCTCCACCTCCCTACCAGAAACCAGCCCTGGACTTTTGACCAATGGTTGGGACCAGGTTATGGAATCCAGGAGTGCCCTGGACACACCCTACCTGCAAGGGGCTCTAGTTAATGCAACACAGTATGCTGCAGGCTCTTTTTTGAAACAAGAGCAAATTTTTGGCCCATATTTATCTTATAATCCATAATTAACTTCCAGTTCCTGCTTTGCAGTCTCACAGCCTTGCCAGTCATTCCCTAATTTGTGTTGTTTATGCAGTTCTTCCATCCCAAGGGCAGAATTTTGCATTTGCCCTTATTGAATTTCATCTGGGTGATTGCAGATCATTTCTCCAGTTTATTCAGGTCATTCTGGATCCTAGCCCTTCCTTCAGAGTGTCTGCAACTCCACCCAACTTAGTGTTATCCACAGATTTACTATAGGTGTGGACACATGTAACAATTGAACCATTTTCCAATGTCACTGATTAGGAACCATTTCACTATTTTCATGGGTCAGAGATGTCCCCACATACAGTGCCCTAGCATTCCAGGTAGAAGGGTTACCTCCTAGGTGCTGATGTGCTGTGGTGCAACACTGGTAGGTGGGAATGAACACCCAGTCCAGCATGCCTTGCAGTGGGTGAGTGGTGGGGATAAGTGCTTCCTTTGGGGGGGTTTCAGGAGGTGGATGATTTGTGACTTTTTTGCTTTCCCTTCTCCCCTAAACATGAGCTAAGCAAAGTTCAATATCCCTCGTTTGACTGAACTCTGCAGGTTGCTTGCCTGGAGGGGAAGTGCTTGAACACAGATTTTAGGGTTCCTGTGGGTTGCATAATGAGTGGCTGCAGTTGAATAGAGAGCGAGGACACAGCTGGTGGTTTTAGTAAGCAGGCAGTTCAAGGGATCTCTGATGTGCCAACAAAAGTGTGGAGGGACAGGTGGGCAGTAGAGTTTTGGCCATATATCAGGGTGGCCAGTTATAGCAGTGGGAGGGTCAGGCTGAGGAGTGACGCAGTGTGGAGGACTGACCAAACCCAGCACCTCAGAACTCTCAGCACCTATGTGTAACACTGACCTGATTCATAATGAATTAGTTCAAAAGATTACTTTATTTTTCAGCTACAAACAAATATTGTATATTTGTCTTGGGAGAAACCATTTTCTTCTGGGACAAAGTGCAGTCATTCAGATACCCATGTCCATTATCCTGTGAACCTTTTTTGGGTTTGTTCTTGAACATCACAGAGTGCATATGAATGCTTGTCCTAGGATTGCATCATTGAATCAGTGGCAGCAAAATAGCAGTACATTCAGCCGCTCCCTTAACCCGAGTTGAAAGGGTGATGTGTGTACCCACCAACCCTGAGGCTTTTCTGTTCTGGGACAAACACAGGCACAATTTGGCCCAGAACAAATGTCCAGGGTCATTCCTTACCTTCCAGGAACAACTTTGAACCTTCCAGACTGTTTTAATTTGGTTTAACAGGCTTTTACATCTGTCTGCTGCAAATTTTAACTTAATTTAAACTACAGTAACAGCATTAACTAATGTCTGACTGCTCCATGGAAGTAATACAGTCAGGAGAGATGGTGCAGTTTGTCAGTACCAGCCCCGCCCCCAGCATACCACAATGACCCAGTCTTCAACAGCTCCATTGCTTAGAATGTGTTTTTATTTAGATCATAGTAGGCATTACCATGTGACTGCTCAGAAAACTTCCTAACTCATGGTGGTGTTACTATGTTCTAAACCAACCATGTCCTAAATGTGTAATGTGTGACAAAGCCCTGAGAGAGAGTTGGAAATACCCCCTGTCATGTAGTCTTAACAATCGGAATGTTACTGCCTACCCAGGACAGAGATTTAAAATTATAGCCATGGTTAGTTAGATATGGAAACACTATTTGGAAAAATGTAATCTGGCATGGGGAGTGTTTAATAGGGCTGACATTTTGAATGGAGCCTAAAGGAGTTAGATACCCTGTTCCCACTGAGTTTCAATAATTAACTGCTTATCTTCATTAGACTCCTTTTAAACGTCTCCTTTTAAATATTTTAAATATCTCCTTTTAAATATCTCTATTCATTCCATCCAGGAAGAGCACATACCAACTGCAGAGACTTCCTCAGCCTGACAAAGGGTTTTTAAACCTGAAACCTTGCTTTAAAATGTTTCCAACTATTTAAGTTGGTCTAATAAAAGATATCAGATTCACCCAATGAACTTATCTGCCTAAGTCCTTAGACTAACACGGTCTACAACCAACACCCTTTAAAAAATCTCACCTTTTGTAAACCATCATTAAAATTTTGGGTTAGCACTACTCTCTGAGGGTAAAAACAGACGTTGAGTTTCTCCCAGGACAAGGCCTTTAATCTTGGGCTCCTACAGATATACAAGCCCACTGTCCAACTTGAAGTACCTATGAAGTATCTGAGATGACTCTGTTTACTGGGGTAATCATGGATAATCAAGTTAATTGTCAGGCATTCTGGGGACAAGCTGCCGGTGTAAAGGGTTGTGCTGCTCCCAGGTTTTGACTCTGGTCAATTAGAACTGACTCAAATATGATGTCTCTTTTTACTCTAAGTAGGACATGAGTGCAACTACAATTTCTCCCTGAATTCTGCAAAGTGCCTGATGCCCTTCATTTGCCCCTCCTCCCATTCCAGTGCCTCTTTGGGATGACTTAAACCCCTAGAGGACAGGAAGAAGCAGCAGTAGGACTCATCCTAGTGCAGATATTCTTGTCCCAAATGTCTGCACAGGGTTCACAAGCTTCTTCCACCTTTCTCCCTCATCCCTTCTTCCTCAAAATTCTTGTGAGTTTTAGGGGAAACCCTAAATCAGAAGAATTCTGAAAGATTATGAGATACCGGTTGCATTGTCATAGTGTTCTGTGCTGGATTTGATTTCTGATCATATCATCTCACTCTCCAGGGCTACAAAAGCAATAACAAAAATCACTTACCTGCAACCATACTACCATGGGTCATGATCTTGTCAGATGTCATAGGTTAACATTGTTTTCTATTTGGATGGGAAATCTTGAAGGGCAGAGGAGGTCATTGAACATTTTTTATACAGAAAGTACTGTACTTTACTGTATTTTAAAAAAGGAAATGAAATAACATCCTATGTTCATTCATCCTGAATGAGAACTACATTTAATCAAATATTAAAACTGAAGGTGCTTTATTACATAACTCTGGAATGAAAGCATTTATTTTTACCACAGATAATTTCAGTGACAATGGGCAAAAGTATCTTCAGATGAACATTTTCCAGGGAACATTACAACTTTTTATAGAAAAATTAAAAGCTGCCAAGACTAAATCATTTTAAAGCTGAAAAAAATGGCTTTCAGACAACAAGAAATTATTAGTTTAAAGTAGTTTTTTTTTCTGGGGACTGGGAGAAGCCATCTTGTTGAAAATCCAATGTTTTATTGAAAAATATTCCAGTGGTAATTTTTCAACTATCCTTGAGCGGTACATGTTAATAAACAAAATACAGTATAGTATAATGGAAGCTAAGATGTAGCTAAGATGCATGTAGCTAAGATGAGGTGCACACTGATATCAACCTGTTGACTTGAATATCTTCCTCCTGTCTTTACACATGCATACTTTTATTGTTGCACATGCTTTTAAACCAAGTTTCAGTATTACTCTTGCAATGAGTCTAAATATAGTATACAGGCGACCCTCGCCATTCACGGGGGATACGTTCTCGTATCCCCCATGAATGGCGACATCCGTGAATAAGGTACTGTGTTCATGAACGCCGTCTGCGTTCATGAACTCAGTGCTGCCGGCCGCTGGGGGGAGGCATGGCTGCTCTGGTGATGGCGGGAGCATGGTGGCGGCAAGAGCAGAGCTCCTGAGGAGCTCCTTTAAGTGTATTCAAGAAGCAGGTTTGGCATTTGTGAATTTTTGAAACTGTGAATGCCAAACCCGTGAATAGTGAGGGTTTCCTGTACTGGCTTGTTACAAAGAAAGGTGTAATGAGTGTGATTTAAACCTTTTGTGCATTTGCGTAGTGTTTTATATTGTATTTCAACACAGTTTATTGATTTGTATAGATTCTATAGTAATAGATATTTTTTCAGGGGCTGGTTTAAAATTGTTCTGATAATTTTAACCTGACCCAAACTTTAATGGTGACTTACTCAGCTGTAGGTTAGTTAAAAATAGTCATGGGAATGAGGAATTCTGTTTTGTGCTCCTGGTTATGGATATGGTGATTATTCTGAAAATTGTAGCTTCTTAAAGCTGCACTGAGTTTTCAGGAGACAACAAAGTTGGTCCTTTGGGCAATTTTCCTGCCAAATATCAAGTTCCTTCTCTGAGGTTGTTTGGCATTTTAGTCTGAAATCAGGCAGAAGGTAGGGCATCTGGTAAACTAGGTTGTTGTCTATGACAGCTCATACCTCTCTGAATCAATAATTGTCTAACAGCCACCATATCCTGCTCTCTACCTTTACCTTGCTTCTCTCAAGTTCCAAAGCTCTGCACAGAGATGGATTAGAGCATTTTGTACTTTGGCAAAATTCCTTCCTGTTCTCTATCCTTGGTTGTGGAAATGGCTTACCTGTTCCCACTGAAACTCAGTCAGTTTGAGGAACAAGCAAATGGAAATTAGGTTGAGAAAATTATGAGTAACACAGGGTGTGTTGACACATGATGCTACAATGCCATAGCAACACACTACAGTGATGTAGCATCAGTGGTCCCAAACCGTGATGCTACAGCTATGTCACCATAGCAATATGCTCTCTCGTTATAGCACTTTGCTATGGCAACATAGCAACTAAAAATAACAGTATGCGGCACGCACAGCACAGTATGGGCTGTTACTGCAGCATCATTTAGTACTCCAAAAGGAAGTACTTTAAAAAAGAAGTACTAAATGATGGCACAATAATGAAGGGACATGTGTAGACACACCTACAGAAGAGAATTTTAACGAATGTGTTAGGCAAGGTGTTGCTAATAGCTTTCTTTTTTTTATTGTTTTTGTTTTGAATTTGTATTTAATTTTGTTTTCTATGGAAATGTAACTATTTATAAAACATTAGAACAGTTCAGTGATTAACTGATTTCAGAGGGATAGAATTATATAGTCTTCTGAGACAAAAACTTGCCAGTTATGGCAGGTCACAATTATTGTTTCTTTAACCAGCCAAACTTGTCAGAAGAAATCTCAGTGCAACTTGGAACTTTTTTGACTGAAGTGTCATGTATAGAGATTAATATAATTTGGAAGATTTGAGGAGAAAATCCAGTAATCCATAAGAAAGGAACTAAAACTATAAAATGCTTGAAATACTAGGTTAAAGCAAAACTTCTGTTCAGCTTGTTTAATTAAATATTAGAAGTCATTGCTCAAAATAAAAATCAAACTATTGAATTTTTTTTTCTTTACAGAATTTTTTAAAAATTAGTTTGTAGATTAGTTGGACCTCCTCTTAATTTGCAGAAATCTATAAGACCTAATCAAATATCTTCTCTCTATTTGATATAGGGATCCAACATCACAGATTCTTGCACGGAAATGCTAATGTATGGAGTTTTGCTGAAAATTTCTGCAGGAAATATCCAGGAGCGGGTCTTTTTTCTTTTTGATAATCTTTTGGTCTACTGCAAAAGAAAACACAGGTAAATGGATTCTCTTTTACTGTGGAAATTGTTTACATTTTGTTCATATGAAGACACACTTCATTAGTGAGGGGGGTGTGTGTGTGTATGTGTGCACAGACACAAATGCATTTTTGAAGTGTGTGATTCCCATGGCAGGTTTGAGGCCTAATGACTACATTTTCAAAAGTGCTCAAGTAGATTAGGATTCTAAATCCCAATTTCAATTTCAAAAGTAATTTACATATTGAAGCTCCCAGACTCCAGTGGAAGTCAGTACGTAAGAGACATCTATCAAAAACTTCCAAGCGTATCCAAAGCCAATTGGTCCTTCTGAATTAATAGATTGCAACTGATCCAGGGAGGGTGACAAATGGGGGGCAGTAAAGACACTACAGGTTGGCCTGAAGGTCTGGGCCTCAAGGACAAGCCTGGGCTCATGGCTTGCAAGGCCTGCCCATGCAGTCTAGCTCGTGGTCTTTTTAACAAGTATACATTGCAACAAAGTAAATAAACAAGGTCGGGGGGCAGTGAAACAGGCAAGTGGGGCCCATGAGGCCAGGCATGAGCAATGAGACTTGGGTCTACGGCCCACAGGGCCTGCCCTCACACTCTAGACAAAAAATGAACAAAGAAACATATACATATATACAGTTCGATAGCGGGGACGCTCGGGGGGGCCTCAGGACACATCAAGGGGTCACTGGTCTTCTTGGTGGTGGGCACCTTGTACAGTGTGCACCATGCTGGGGCCCCCAGCAATGCCAGGCGCTGCTGCCACATGGTGTCGGGGTGGCCGGCCAGCACCTGGGCATGCCGGGTGTGTGCCATCCACGCGTAGAGGCCCCTCCAGGGCAGTGTGCCAAAGGGGCAGCCTGTGTTGCTGCTGGAGGGGCATGGGGAGCCTCAGTAGCACATCAGGCCAGTCGGTGAGCTCACAGGCTGCTGCCAGGATGACTGGCAGTGGCGTGAAGGCGTCACCCATGGCGTCTGTGGTGGGGAAGGCCCGGTACACCTAGAGGTAGCCTTTCAGGGCAGCTACCACCTCCGTCAGGAGGGTGGCCCTAATGGCCTGCAGAAGCTGGCCCATGGTTTGGATGGAGCACAAGGCCAGCTGAGTTGGGTCTAGGATGTTCCTCAGGTGGGTGGTGTGCACCTCAATGAGGGCAGCCATGAGGCTGACAAAGGCCAGACTTGGCAACACATGCTTCAGGGCCGGGTTGTAGATCAGGGGCTCCTGAAGCAGCTGTGGGAACTGCAGGTGTCTGGCCTGGGGACAAAGGTGGAGGGCAGCCTGCCAGGCACACACCATGCTGTGGTAGAACGGGAGGAGGACCGCCCCATTCAGGAAGGTAAGGTTCAGCATGAATAGCTCCTGGTCAAAGCCGAGGCCCCTCACCCAGTGTAGGAACCGGCATGCCAGCTGCCACCATGGGAGGTGGCCTTCAGCATACAAGAGCCACTGGAGGGCTTGCAGGCGGTAGGAGGCCACCCTGGTTGTTCTACCTGATGGGGCCCCAGTGCCCAAGGCACTAGTTGCCCCAGATGGCACTGGGATGGCGGGGGGGCTGGAAGGATGTCCCAGTCCCTCCACTAGATGAGGCCCCTGCACTGGGGGGGGGCAGCCCCACCAGGCAGGTGGAGTGGGGAGGCAGGCTGAGAGGAGGCCACAGTCACTGCATCCAGTGGGGTGTCAGTGCCTGAGGCACCAGCTGCCCCAGAGGGGTCTGGGGCAGGAGGGGACTGGGAGGAGTCTCCAGCCCCTCCACTAGGTGGGACTTCAGCCCCAACAGGGGTGGGAGGAGCCCAGGAGGACATCCCAGCCCCCCACTAGGTGGCATGCTCATGCCAGAGGCGCTGATCCCCCCAGATGGAGCAGGGGCAGAAGGGGGCTGGAAGGAGTCCCCAGCCCCACCCTTTGATGAGTCTACCATGCTGGAGGTGGATGCGCCATCTCTCTGCGCGGGTGCAGCAGCTGTCTCGCTCTGGGTGAGGTGTACCACATACCACCTCTCATCCATCACAAAGGTCACAGAGACAGGTAGGGTCTGGGCCCCCCCTAAGGAGAATGAATGCCTGCCTCCAGAAGGACAGGATGTGCCTGAGCCTGGGGTCCCTGCTCCCCATGGTCAGCCTGTGCCAGGGGCTAGTGAGGATGCCATAGCACTTGAGCGCTTTGGTGAGGTTCCAGTCTGGCAGGTGCAGGGGGACGTTGGAGGCCACTACCTGCTCTGCCAGGGTCTCTAGGGGCATGGCCGAGTAGCGGATGCCCGAGACCACCAGCCCTGCCACCACCCTCCCTCACCAGGCCTGGGGAGCTCAGGTAGATGATGGGCACTGAGTTCACCTGGGTGGCATTCCAGATGTTCTGGCATTCCACCAGATCTGCCAGAGCACCGGTGAAGGCCTCCACCCTGACATGGAGAGGGGCTTGCATCCGCAGGCCATGGCTGAGGGGCAGGTCTGCAGAGACATCCCTGTGCCATGTGCCCTGGCTGCTGGCAGACATCCTGGGCAGGAGAGGGTTAACTGTCCCACAGGGGCTGCTGCAGGGGAAAAAAAAAGCCTTGAACTGAAGCTGGGGACTGGGAGGGAGCTAAACAGCCCCAATATCGGCCCCAGCGGGGACAAGACAGCCCTTCAGGGGCTGAAGGCAAGCCCTAAGGCAGGTGGAGGTGGCAGAGATGAGAGTAAGGGGCTCTGGAGGAGGGAGACAGGGATAGCACAGGCTTCCGCCTGTGGGGGAGGGGCAGAGGCAAGTGAGGATGCCAGATCCCAGGGGAAAAAACTCAGAAAGTAAGGAAAAGGGGCAGAGAGGGGGTCCCCAAACACAGTCTGGGGAGAGGCAAGGTTTGCGGGTTGGGGAGGGGCATGAAACAGGGGGGACATGGAGCAGGGAGGAGCACGCAGAAGGGACCTGAGCTGGAGGAGCTCAGAGGGGCTTCACCTGGCCACTGCCATGTTGAAAGAAAGAAAGCAAGATTTCTATAACTTTTTATTTATGTTGGGATATATAAGGAATATTACTTTGGTTAACTGGTTAACTTAGTAACTTAGTTAACTGAGAGAATCAAGACATAATCTTGTCTCCATTCTATCACAGTCTGTTCATTCATATTACTTACTGATTGTGGAATAAATGCACTGTAAAGGTTTCTGCTGTCAGAAGGCCTAGCTAGTAAAACAGTAGAAGATGTTGATACACTCTATTTCATTAGAAAGACCTATATAGGTCACTGGAGACAAAAAGGTGGTAGTCGTTTTTTTGGTAGGGATTTGTTTCATTTGGTAACCCATTGCTTTCCTCTGGAGAAAATGATGGTGGTGAAAAGGCTAATGCAAGGGCAATACAAATTTACACTTTCTTTCTCGAGTTGTAGTGGATTTCTCCCTTTGTTTTCATATTTCAGCATTCATTTGGATTGTTGTAGTTTAGAATTGGGGTTAGAATTTCTGCATGAATTAAATTTTGCATGAATTTGAATATCTCTGAAATATGATACCGTTATGATTTTCAAGGATGCCATTCTACTCATCATTCTCAGTTTAGCAGAAACTGGAACAGGTTAGAAGTTCTTTCCATTTTTTTTCTCAAATTAACTCACTTTTCAAGTTTTTCAGTGCAATTGTAACTAAATAATGACTTGCTGTAACAAGAACCCATTAATTCTCCATAAGTAAATTACTTATTTTCATGGATATTTGGTAGTAAAAATATAGTGGTGAATGAAAATCTTGAATGTGGAATATATAGATGGTTTCTTTTAATTATGTTCAAAATATTTATTGCTGGTAGTGATTTTTCCTTTTTGAACAATTCAGCTTTGATGTCTCTTTAGATATTAAAATGACTGGACTTAAATAGATTAATAATATTTTTATTGGCAAGAATTGTAGATGGGGGGTTAATTTACTCATAAAAGTTATCAATAGGATTCGCTGTGAGAGCAAATCCTATTAACTTCTATAAATAACTGAATTCCCCATCTACAGTTCTAGTCAATAAAAATAGTATTAATTTATTTTAGGCAACTATGATACTGACCTTTTGTAGCTATTAAAATTGTTTTTATTCTATGGAATATTCTCTGTTAGTACTGTTCTCTGTTAGTCTCTTTAAAGCATGACAAGTGGAGATAAATTTCACTAGAGTAATGTATTACTCATAATGCAATTATGAGTGGGATGAAGATTTCCTGGGGCTTAATCTCCATCTGGATAGAAGTGAAAGCCTGAGTCCAGGTGACCATTAAGGATAGGGACAGACATTCAAAGCTGGAGCCTGAATTGATTCAATCTTTGCAGTTGAGCCTAACCTGCCTAGATTGAACCAATTTGCAAGTGAACAGACATTCCCTTTTGACTCAGGAAATGCAGGCACATGCCTGCAGTGACTTAGGCCAGATGCTGGGGGGAGCTAGAGCATGCCCCTGGCTGCAGGGAAACTGTGTTGGGGGAGAGGTCAGGTGTGGCCAGCCCCAAAAGTAGCCTCAAGTGAACTGGCCAGGCTTGCACTCCTGGGACACCATGGCAGGGGCCACTGTCCCTTCAGTGTGGCTCCCCCCTCACTGCTCCAGCAGCAGAGGATGGGGTGCAGCCCCCTTAGGTGAAGGGGGCAAGGAGGGGTTTATTTCCTCACTCCCACTGGCATCTGGTGAAGGGGGGCAGGGAGGGGATTTATTTCGCTGCTCACCCTGCACAGGGAGCAATTGGGGGAGGCAGCAGCCAGGGCTGGCAGACCCCAGCTGCAGTCCCCAGTGGGAGAGGTGGAAGAGGGAGGAATTGCCTGGCTCTGGACAATTGGTGAAGGTGGTGGCTGGGTCTGGCAAACCTTGGCTACGGTCCCTGGGGGGGGAGGGGATGGAGGGAAGAGTTAACCCCCTCCCTGCCCCCTTCACCTTAACAGGGCCATGCCAGCTGGCATCTGTCCATGCCACCTCTCCTGCCACTGGGGCAGCAAGGGGGGGAGGGTCCTGACAAGGGCTGCTCCACCTTGCCAGGCAGACCCCGGTGGGGTTCCT